TGACATCGTATAGCTGTCAGACAATATGACCTCTTATTATGACATGTTTATACTGAACAAGGCATCCTGTTGAGTTTTCGATGCTTGGCGTTGTTTGTTTAGACTGTTAGGACATTAGATTTTGCTAGAAATTGTATTGAAGAATATGCTATATATCGTATGATTTCATTAGATTTCCGTGAGTAACAGGCCAAAGTTTACATTTTGCAGGTTATCTTAGCAACATTGTAAGAGCTGTCAAATTTTCACAAGCTTGCCAGGTGGCGCCTCTGTCGATTAATGTTCTCTTGCAATGAGTCAGATAATGTAAGTTAGTGTTATATTTGAAAAGAAAGCATTCCGGAACATAATTTCACTGACCTCAACAATTATTTTTCCAACACAATAAAACATTTAGGTTAATTTGCTGTAATAATAAATAAACGCAGCGTTTATTATAATTTAACATTACTCAAGGCTTCCATTTAATAGCTTATTAATAGAATATTCATGATGCTGACACAAGAAGCCAAGTACGATTTTATGTAATAAATATTTTATTAATTAATAAACGCTGCCAGTAAATAAATCTTTCTTTAACTAAGGCAGGAGGATAAAAATTCAGTTCGTGAGATTTACTCTACCGAACATAACAAAATCCCCTCTCCTGTAATTTCGCGAAAAAGTCTTACCAAATTCTAATACTGATAATTAGAATCTTTCACTTTTCCATTTTCCCACACAGGGTCTAGGTATGTTAATTATTATGGACAGTATTGTAATTAGTATTATTATCTTAGTACTGTTATTTGATGTATGGGGTGTGTAAAGTGTAAAAATATTGAAAACTATAATTCCAGCATTGCAAAGAGATCCAATATCAGAAAAATCAGCAATCATGCTTGCACTCTACCAAACTAACCACCAGATTGCCTGATGCAAGTTTATTTTACGTTAACGCGATCGACACGTTTATGACGTTTGGTGCTCTGATTGGCGGGCTCCAAGTTAACCAACCAATCAGAGATCTAAACGCGGTAACGTTTCACAAAATAAATTCGATCTAAGCACTGAGCATGTAATAGTGAAGGCAGAAATTAACACGTAGGTATGTCTATGTAACCTACTATACAAGTAAGGGATACACAGAGTTTGTATGCGTCACGTATAACTTGAAATATTGGGACATCGATGTCCCATCCGTTGCCTCTTGCATACTAATGTCATTTTGGTCTTGCGGATATTCTTCCAGTATCGATTTCTTCACTATTTCATAATAAATATGGATTATCTTTCATTATTTATTGCGGATTATCTCATGGATTCGTTAATGGTCGTAATAAAACTTAAGATTTTCCTTAAGGTAGAGCAATTAGTTACCTATTAGCTGCCGGTGATAGCGGGACTATAGTCAATAAATGGACAAATATAAAGACTATTTTTCAGAAAACAAATATCTATATAGTCCATGTTTTACTTTGGTATGGTATTATTTCGTGAGTAGTCTAACGCTGAAATATTCAAACGTCACTCAATTTTAAGTCGCGATTAAGTATAGTTCTGTCGCTACAAATTCTTTGTAAAATGACAGAGACGGGACGATATTAGAGTACAACTTAAAATTTTAGCCTTGCAGTATTCGGGCGTTAGTTCATTATTTACAATTACATTTAACTAATAGTTGACTCAAAATCATGTATACTTCACATTGATTGGTCGAGCTTGTAATATTGATAAATGTTTACTACCCATACCTCCTTGAATGGCTTTAATTTGCATTGTTATGTCCCATTGATTAGTTTAATTTTATTGTCTTTTGTAACAAATCGTCATGATTACTTAAACATATAAATATTGTCACCCATTTTGAGCGAACATAAACGGTACGTAATTAGTGTCTATATTCAAATGAGAAAACATTATTTTACGAGACAAGTAGTTTGTAAGAACAGCCTTTATGTGCCGTTTATGAATTCCACGGCATATGACAATGCATAACTACAAACACACGTTAAGACGGACGTGTCCACATGAATGTTTCGCAATCGTTGCGAATTCAGCAATATTGCACAAGAAAACAACATTGTACTTGTAACAATGCTCTGGGAATCTCGAGTAGCTACCACCCGTGAAATATTGCGGTACTGTTCGGCAAGCATGTTGGCACAAACATGGCGCCTTAACATTTTAATATGTACTTTGTATCTTGGAATGGTGTGGGAGCTGTTTGTCGGCGTTCTTGTTGCTTAATTCCTTTTGATAAACTGTTCTCTTAAGTTTATCTGTTAGATTAGATAAGTTTTAATACTTAGTAGCTTGATTACAACCTATTTTTTTTGAGAATTATTGTAGTTGCCTGTGTTAGCGTGTTAATTAACTTATAATTACATTTCGAACAGATTTTTCTGGTAAAATAAAATTCAATCCCGTAGTTTAAGTATATAGTTTCTATATTGTTCTTTTAATTTAGAATGAGAATTAATTGCATAAAAATAAATAATAAAGATTTATAATTACCGTTGATTTCGAGTTAGTTTTCCAATCGGAGCGGTCGTGTGTAACGAGCAGTAAATCGCCACGGACCAATGAATGAATTGACACAATAGTGAGAAAAAACACTATGTTATTCAATTTAGATTTCAATCTGTTTCGACCTTAAGTTATTTGAAGTGTTATTAGCAATTTGTAAAACAATGTTGTTACAACAAAAGATATATAATTTTCGTGTACCGCGTGAGACGTTTTGTCTGACACATAACTTTTGGGTGATTTATGTCATATTTTTCACATGGTTTCGTGTGCCCCTGTTGACTACCATGTTGCGTGATTAATTATAATTTTATGTCTTTCAAATAAAAACTGCCTATGTAGGTTTATTAACATTTAATTTTACTTTGTCTATGATCAAGTCACATACCATAAACCCGCGTAATAACCTAAATATTTTTAACACACGTATAATTTATTCGTAGAGGACTTTTTAATAAACTTAATTAATGTAATGAAATCCTAAAATCGCGTTGTAATTAAAAAGTGAATTCATTAGTTTTTACATTATAATGACCATGAGCGTTATGGTAATAAAGGCGCGGTCACACTGCGGCCGACAGACGAGCGCGGCGCGGTGTTAAGGCGCGGCCACACGCGAGCGCTCCATTAGATCTCCTAACAATATTTCATACGCGCTCATATAATATGTAAGTGACGTGTCCACATTTATGACACTTTGTTGGGTGGCATAGAAAAAATATCATTTCGTGACAGAATTATTTAGTGTGAAACGTGTCGTAAAGAAAAAAGTTTATACTATTTTTTAGTTTGGGGAAAATTTACAGAGCCAGTGCATATATTTATACTTTTATGACGTCTTTAAAATTGATTTCAAAGGAATAAATAAAATGTGCGTGGTCCATATGAAAATTCTGATGTTAATGTTCCTACGTCACGTTGACATTTTGTAAATGGAACATTAATGTATCTTATGGGGTGTTACGGACAAGTTGACGACTCTCATAGGTCAGTCCATTCACATAATTACCTACAATTTTATTACAAGTAAATGGCATAAATTAATTTTATTTTGGATAGAAACATGCCAGCACTTAATGATGGCTTATAACATGGTGTTGATGTATTTTGTATTCTTCGATCAATATTTATTTATTTATTTATTTAAACTTTATTGCATATATACACTGTGAAACTAGCGGACTTATTGCCGTAGGCATTTTCTGACAGTCGCCCATTGGGTGGTACAGAATGTTAAAGCGGTAGGTGCAAAATTATGGTGCTTAAAGAAAGTATGAAGTATACCTCTATAACAGAAATTAATATTATTTATTTTATTCCATTGTAACGTTAATCGTATATTTTTCGTGCTCTGAAAGTACCCTAAAATATTTATCAATATAAAAGAGCTACCATAAATAGTGTACAAGTTGTTAGAGTAACGTTAATAAGGGCTAAGCAGATAACTCAATAAAAAGTTAATGATGTAGAAGGCAGTGCCTGCCGACTGCCGAGGGTCCGATCCTAGATAATCGGACACCGACGAACATTTTCCTTCTGCCCCAGGATACCCAATTAATTAGGAAAGTCGTTAAAACATTTTGATTAAATTATCTTATAATTTATAGACGATCGTCGTGTTCACATCCCAATAATTAATATCGGGTGGAACATATGTTTTCTCAATCACTGGAGGATTTCTGTCAACCATTAGCACCGGTGACTTGTTCAGTGTTCAGTATGGGCTCCAGTCGCCATTTTACTCTGATAAGCGATTGACTGATGACTCCAGTAATGAATCAGGTGGAGTTCAGTCGGCACTGAGACCTTCGACGTCGATGAACTAGACAATGATAGATCGCATTGAATCCTGTTTTAGTGCGAAGTTTGTTGAAATGTTAGGATTTATTTGCATCGCTTAGTTCGTTACACATAATCTTATTCATATCTATACACGTTAATAATGCCTCTAGCTATTAAGTAACATTAAGCAATTTGTATTATTTCGTTAATTTGCTGTGTGCCTCCATCCTGTTCGAAGTTACACAACTCATGCTCGGTTTCAACATCATTACTTATAATTCGCGTTCAGATGTCCACGTATTGTTTCGAAGCGATATTAGAGAACTGGTACAAAAGTTACATTACGGTTTATTGATCCATTGATAGCTTATCGCTCGCATTTATCTCCACTCCGATAAGTATAGATGCATTGAAATAATACTCTTTAGCATATTGCCTTTATATTATGTACTGCATGCGTTCATTTTCTATTGTTTTATGAAAGCTGATAGCGTAATCTACCTATTGTTAACCCACTATCTCTTAACATCGAAGCAATTTAAAAGAAAAGAACGAATGGAAACCGAATTTAATTAACATAAAAACTATTTTTGCTAAGTCTACCTAGTTGCTACGAATGCTGTATGAACACGGAAACTGTGACGCGAAACTGGAGCGAGGCAAAACGACAATAGCGTCGACTAACTCAAAAGCCAATTTTTTTGAAATGCATGACGCGAACGGATGAAAAGTCACAACACCACTGTATATCAAACCGATGCGTATCTACCCCCCTTGAAAAAATTCTAATACGAAAAAATATTAATGTCAACGTGCGAATGGAAGGGCAATACGCAAAGCGTGGGTGTGAAAGAGACAAAGAGCTATTGTTCTACACCTGCCAGTCGTCACCTGGTGCGGGGTCTCGTCCATATTTGATTAGGTTTTTTCGGGGTTGTAGTCCTAACTATGAATGCGACTGGCGAATTGAATTGTTTGGTATTTTTGAATTCTGTTACAATACTGACCGTGTCCACAACTCGAATGTCGTATGTTATGGAATTAAATAAATTCCCAACACGCTGACATATTTATACAAGTTATATTTTTATGAAACAGTTCGCCCGCGAGTAAATGGAATAACATGTTATTTCAATATTTTAGGAGTTAGTTTAAAACATTGTGTTTGCAGGCGCTTACTTATACTTTGTATAGAGGTGATTTGGAAAAAGAATTGTAAAAACACAGAAAACATGACACTATGAACAAAAAGTGTTATTATGCAAGTTTTGTCTAACTGTTAAACGGTGCTGTCAAAACACGATAAGGAAAGAGTAATTGTTATGAATATGTTCACTATGTTCAGCTCTAGGGCGAACAACCAGATGAATGGGACCTTGCTAAACCGGTTGTTTATTGACTTACGGTGAAAATTCAAAGTGTTTATTGTTATCGACCGCATGCCGTTCGCCTCTAAAGGTCGCATAATTTGAAATGGTTCAGATATGCACAAGGTAATTAAATTACTGTAACTAATACCTTGGTTATGTTACTTTATTGAATCGTTATCGTCTCCCTTATTTACATTAGCACTTATTAACTTTGTTCTTTATTTTTATGAACTATTATTAGTATTATGATACAATATTCACACTATATAAACAACGCTTACTTTATCTCCTCGTAAAATAACCAGATATTGCGCTACTAAATCGTCGTTATGCTTATTTCCCTTGCGGAGTAAGCAAAGCGAAAATGCATTCAGGCTGCGACCGTAATTTTCGCCAGAAATAAATAATAAAAGAGTATAAAAATATGGTAGCTTCAGCAGGTCTTTTTATTGGTAAAAACAAACTGGCTGTGTGTAGCCGTGTAGTCAACGCAAGTATTCCAAAAGCCCGTAATTCGTCGTTAACACAATAAAACGTGAATTACTCGTCTGTATTCATTTAGTCGTTTGAACCGTCCGTAATCCAAGCCATCTGAGGGTCTGTGGTGAACCGCAGGCGCTCGCGGACTCACAACTTTTGCCATGACCACTGTCAACTTGGAGCGCCGAGAAATTATTGGTTTAAAGAGCTTACACTGAAATTAGCTTAAATTCCTTTTGTTTTTACTTCGGAAAGCCGCACCTTGTACGTCGTATCTAAGGTTAACAGTGAACCACATTTCGGGTGACTGAAGATAAGCCGGTGAAATACGGGCGGCCTGTCTTGTCTCACAATTTATTCGTATCTAAACGTTTTTCTACATACGCTGTTTTGTGTGTGCATTTATTACGTTTTTCTTGGCATTGTTACATTATTATGTTTAGTAGAAGCATAGAAAGACTTATTCCGCAAATAGAAATATTGAGACCAACAAATTATTTACTCTTGTAGTGAAGTACCTAATCACAAGATTCGGTTCGGTAAGCTACCTAATTTGAAAAAGACGAGGAATTTAAATTTTATTTCGAGTAGATATTTCGAATCGTTAAATGGCTTACTTATGTTCTTGAAGTAGATTTTCTTTTATATCTAATTCATAACAGTGTCATTACAGTCGGAGTAATTTGAAACTGAATAAACCATTTCGGTCCGAGATCTAATGGCCGCAAAGACATTCAAATATCCTTTGGAATAAGTCCGGAGTTATTCACTTAGGGCGATGGTAATGATGCCTAGTTGAAAAAGTCCTTGCAGGCTCACGAAGTTTCATTACTGCTTTTTATGCTACTATGGCTGAATGTGGACTTGAATCTTTTGTATTTTTTCCTCTTCCCGACTCCGAATAGCCTCAAATTTATTCTTGAGGACAGTTTAATGGTGCATATAATTTGTTAAACGAACTAGTTGTAACGTTTGGAGCTAAATGGACGTATGTTTGTGAGAAGATTTGCTAATTGAATGTTGTATACGTACGCCATGTTCATGTCTCGCGGGGCGCTTTATGCATTTCATACGAAAATTAGTTAGGACTGTACGTAATCAGTGTAGTTTATTTTAGCAGAATAACGGGGGGGAATAAATTAATCATTGCACGCAGATAGATGTTTACTATTAAAAGCAAACTACCAGTTTCTTCTATTTTTAATGAATACTTGAGTAAAATTATAGGTATAATGTTATCTCAATTTACTTTTATAGTAATCAAAATTCGTAATTAAAGATCATTCTATGCTACTTAATTAATTCTACCATTAATCATAGAGCTGATGGTTATTTAATTTGAAAAGACTTTTCTCAAAGTACAGAATCATGTCACAGTGGAGCCACATAATGTTCTAAATTAATGTAATTCACAAACTCTGTCTAAGTATTTAGTAAGTATATGAGAGGCTAAAGAGAGAAACGACCAAAGAAAGTACTGTTAGTGAATTCCTTATCTCCTTACCAAGGTTAATTCGAAGGCCTTGAGGCCGGGGCACGTAAGTATTCAGCGCTTGGCGAATTTCTCCTCATGATTATGTCAGGTCTAATTTAAGAACCCTCGGGGCACATTCTCATAAACCGAGTTCTTCATACCACAAGTACCTACGTTCCTTATTTAATACAACCCCCTGTATATAAGTACATAACATAAAACATCATCCTGTAGCCCGAACATCTTAAATCGACACAATACGCTATGTATTATTATTCGTTCCCGGCCGTTATTTGTAAACTCCCGGCAGAGTTTCGTTGACCGGAAGTGCTTGCGGCTGGAAGCGCGGGATTTGACCGGAAGTTGTGCAACCCTCGGGTTGATGTGTTAAGCTGTAGTACAGCGGCTTAACTGAGTTATTAATTAATGACCACGGCCATCCGGCTCCTATCAAATGTGCCAACTTTTTATACCGTACCTACTCATTTTTGTTTTATATTAAAAAGCGATAAGAATTTTGTGAAAATTTAACACGGTTTTTAATTTATAATGTTTTTGGAATTTGTTTTCTGCGTTACCTGGACACATAGCAACAAGTGCAGGTTAACGTTAGTGGGAACTAAAAACTTGTATTAGGGTTGGCTATAATTTGAAAACTATCAGCTGTTACGGTATCAATAAAGTAATGTTTATGTAAAAGCGGGGTCGTTGGCATTCAAGGGAGGCATATGCGAAGTCACCTGCCGGTCACAAACCCCTGTAGCAGCGCCCTCCCCCACTGGAAATATTAAATGTTACTTGTTTGGTAACTTATGTGGGTTCGGCTCACCTTCGCATACAAAATGTGGAGATTGTCTAGCGTATTTTGTATTTTTACATGAGATTATATCTCTGCAAGTAACGTTAGCGTAATCGAGTTGCGAACAAGTCCGGTCCAGAGAGGCTATTAACAGCGAAATTGTTCGGTCAAAAGATAAATTTTCGAGATAATTTTTAGGAAGGAATTTCGTGTGACGACAGTTCGGTGAATATAAACATTAAGATACAAGTAGCCGAGGTAGTAGAGTTTTCTGTAAACCGATGACATCACAGTCTCTAAGCCACTAAGTACAAAACATACATGATGATAACGAGAGATCGTAAATTAGGCTAATAATTTATTAGCAGCCACTGTGTAAGTGTGTAAGATAGCTATTAGAACGGGCTTTTAATCGAATTAACAGGGAATAGTTTGTTTCCATACACCAGAACGACAGCAAAACGAAAATTGAGAATATTGTTTGCCTAACCTATTAATTTAGCTGAAAGCCAATTAATGTTTTAGTACTTTGTTCGCGGTTTGTTTTATTCGTGTTAGTTGTTTAGTTATCAGGAAAATTTATGGATTGGTGTTACTAGGAAGAACAAATTAATATTTTTAGATATGGAATTTTTGCTACACGTCTATATTTGACGCTTTCACATAATATTATGTTCTATGTTCAATATCACATGGTCGTAAATCCGACACCTTTATATTCCATCGAATATTTTCCTCTATCTATTTTGATTCTCGACTTAATTGTCTGATAACGTAAACACAGGGTTATTAACTAAAGTAAATACACATTTGGTCTGAACTCTGAATTCGCTAGTTTGTTTGTAATAGTGTATTGCAATTAGTGTTCAGAATATTCTAAAACACGATCCCTGAGGTTCAACATCGACTGTTGGTGTTTTAGCTAAATTAAACAGTTCAACTCTAGGGGTGATACCAGTTATCGAGGCAATATGCATAACAAACATCTGGCGGGTGCTGTTTTAACGATCCCCCAAATAGAGGGACTTTTCAACCGGTACCGGTGACCATTGCCTGATTGAATAGATAAAAAACCTCAACAAAACTGGGGGACGAGTAAAATTACCAACAAAATACTGTAGCCACCCCTGTTTTAGGGTAATGGTAAATACTTGATCGACGTAAATGATCCGAAAAGAATTGGAATAAAGCAGGAAATCAATAAATGCTAATTTAAACGGGGTTCTGATAGACGATTGATTTTGTGGAATAACTGTTTGATTGATGATTGAATTTCGTGTCCGTGCCGTGTGCCCCTTGACACGGGGTACGCAGGTATCACCAACACAGTGATTGTTTCGTTCACTTCATGATTTTACTACTATCACTATTGTTTTAAATGCCTCGTTGTCAATTCTTTTTGTTACTAAGTTTGCAGATTTTGACTTTCAATAACATGATAAATTCATTGCTAATGTACCAAAATTGTATAATATTGATAGCATGGCTTTTATCAAATGATCACATGATGTGTATTATTGAATTCATATACATAACATATAAATAACAAAATGATAAGGAAGGATATCACAGCACCATAACTTGCACTACTCCTGCCTTTTATTTTGTTTTGTTATTTTAATCAAAAACTAAACTACATACATAACATCACGCCTTTTTATCTCCGAAGGGGTAGGCAGAAGTGCACATTACGGCACTTTATGCCACTGTACAATGTAACACCCACTTTTTCACTATTTATGTTATGAGTCTCATGTAATAGGGGGTGAGTATATTGCCATATACCGGGCACATTTCGAGACCCCGTGCTCGTACTGAGATTTTAAAAAAACCCAGTAATACTTTGCCCGACCCGGGAATCGAAACCGAGACCCCTTGCCTGGCAGTCGCACATGCAACCACGCGGCCAATAAAGCAGTCAAACTA